GAGAGTCCAGCGGAGGGCTGCTAAGATGATGGAGGGGTTGGAGCATCTCTCCTGTGAGGAAAGGCTGAGGGAGCTGGGCCCGTTCAGCCTGGAGAAGAGAAGACTGAGGGGGGATCTCATGAATGTGTACAAGTATCTGAAGGGAGGGTATCAAGAAGATGAGGCCAGACTCTTCTCAGTGGTGCCTAGTGACAGAGGCAACAGGCACAAACTGAAACACAGGAAGGCGTGTCTGAATATAAGGAAAAATTGCTTTCCTGTGAGGGTGACTGGGCACTGACACAGGTTGCCCAGAGAAGTTGTGGAGAATCCTTTTCTGGAGATATTCAAAACCCACCTGGACATAATCCTGTGCAATGTGTGGTAGATGACACTGCTTGAGCAGGGGGCTTGGACTAGGTGAGGTGACTCCAGAGGTCTCTGCCAACCTTGGCCGTTTTGTAATTCTGTGATAACAAGCCTAACTTCCCCTCCTGCGAAGACTTACTTAAGCTGTACAGAGAAGCAACCCATTTGTTTACTACTATTAGTAGAAGAAAATTAAAAATAACATGAATACCTCTGTAATAATACTTGTTTTTCTAACCCTGTAAACAAGGTGGGAAAAGAACATTCTTAAGCCTTTAAAAGCAGCATTAAGTGGCATTTAACAACAAAATAACAAAATAAAGAGGGAACATATTCCACTGAGTACATTCAGGGGTATGATTCTACAACTATTAGAACGCAATGTTAAATTACATTAATGAAGTATTAAAGTTCCAACATCCCCACCTCCCCCACCCCGCCCCGGGAAAGGTACAGCAAGCAGCGTTAAAAAACACGCAAATATATGTTCCTGTTAGAATTGTAAGAGCGCTACAGGGTGTCCAGGCTACAAAACATGTCATAGAAATCAGAGTGTTAAATATTTTTTCCTTATTTCCCCAGCCATAAAATCCAGAAATAGAAAATGACCACTTAAGTTTTATTCATCCGATCTAGTGAAGAAAATTTAACTCCTTGACTGAGGGCGCTTGGTTTTGTGTATTCCCATGGAGAGACTGCAGAAGATATTATAGGGTTTGGCATTTATCCCATCTACCTCAGGACTGCGTGAAGGCAGAAAAAAGGCAGAAAAGCTAGCTGCTTAGTCACTGCTCCACCAGTACTATGCTAAATTATCACGCCTGTCTCTACGTCTACCCTGACCCAAGTAAATATTGTGTAAGCAGCATGGCTTCATCACTATCACTTGTCTTGTTCTTCACCTTCAGACAACCTTGATCCTAGAGCTGTACCTTCCAGATATGATCTAAACCCCTTTAACGAAGAAAAATTTTATACATTATATTCTTACGAGCAGGGATACTTTGTTTGAGATTTCCTCAGTAGAGCCATTCTTGAAAATAATACACAAAGCAAGCGCATTCAGCTGGAGCTTTCAGGAATCAGACTTACTATATTTGCCTCATATTCGTTATCTGCACATCTACATAAATCCAGTTTCAAAGATTCACCATGCATGAATCATGCAAGTACGCCACCACAGTCATTCAACACTCATGACTGTACAGCACTATGGACACATTTAATCTTGCCTTTAATCTTGACCTCAGCCTTCCAAAAAAGAGGCTGGCAAACAGATATTTTTCATTAGCTAGCAGAGAACTATCAGAGGTCCAGGAGCTCTGTCCTTCATCTCCACAGCAAAGAGAGGGAGACTTACAACCAGGGTGTATAACAAACTTAAAGAAAAATGGTACTTTTACAAACCTATATGTGCAACATGGCTTAACAGAAGTTTAGTACAAACTTCGGTCTTCAACTTCCTTTTCTGCCAAAGGTCTTAAACTTTTAGAACTCTGTTAATACACTCTGTCTGGGTCATCAATACTAAATGAGCAAGAACATCTTTAAAAAAAAGTACATAACTAACTGGGAATCACTAAGTATCCTAAATGCAATAATACTACTGTTTAATTCTTAAGCATGAAAAAAAACCCACGTTTCAAGTCTGGCTTGCAGAATGCAAGTCCTTTGTGATTGCCATGTTGAACTGTTAAGTCAGAATTCCTGCAGAATTTGAATAAAAAGTGACTGTTTTAAAAATAAATGCCAATGGAACAATTATATTATTGATAGAGAATTATAATGAGAGCATACAAAAAAAAGAGCCTTGTTTGCCCAGTTATCTATGTGCCAGACAGAAGATATAATAGGAGGTGGAGTGATAAAAATATTTTTGAATAGCTTGACTAGGCAGAAGGAAGCCAGGAGAAATTCCTAGAAATATCAGAAAT